AAAAAAAAAACTACCTCATTTTTTGTTGGATCACTTATTAGGACACAAGGCCTGCTCCAAGATTGGCTGATCTTCTTTGCAGTAGATCTCTGTGTGCATACCTATTAACATTCTGACAGTATTTTCCAAGATAACATTGTGGTGTTTGCACAGAATCTGAACATACGAGGTTATACTGAGTGCAAAGAAAAAAGTGGAGTATAGTTTGGAAAAGGAGCATCATCATGCTGATGGAAAACTTCTGAATTTCAAAAGGGGCCTATTAGTAAGAGTGACTGGTAGTGGTGTGTGTATGTGTGTGTGTGTGTGTGTGTGTTTGTGTGTGTGTGTGTAATTTTTTTTTTCCTCTTAATGATGCAGTTTGCGTTCTCGGAAATGTCAGGCAGCCTTGGGAATACCAGAATAACACCTCCAACAGGTCAATTACCCGTGCCCCATGGCACTATCCTCTGGGATGCTCTACAAACACCTTGGCAGGCAGTGTGATCCGTGCGTAGGTCTAATGTCAGCGGTCAGTTCCATCAGCTATTTCCACTCGTGGTTAGCACACCAGTCCTTGCACAACTTTTCCAATTGTGGGATATGGGATAACAGGGGTTCTCTGAACATGGTCCTGGGCCCAGCAGCACCAGCATTGCCTGGGAACCTGCTAGGGACACAAGTATTGGGGCCACCCCAGTGTCAGGCACCATGGGGACGAATTCAGCGATCCCAGCTAGACCTGTCCTCGGGGGGATTCTGACTCATGCTAAAGTTGGAGAGTCATGTAGGTGGCACATGGTGGCTAGGCACTAAGTCACCTAAGGGAGACACACCTCATTTCCAGTCCCTGCCCCTTGGGATCCTCGTCACCTTGAACACACTCCTTAAACCAGCGAAGCGAGGTCTTGGTGTGTTCAAGTAGAAAATGGGGAGGAGGATGCCCGTTACCTCTGTAAGCTTTGGGCAAGGTGAGGTGGAGTGCTTCCTATGAAGTGTTCTGCAAGATGGCTGCCAAAGATCGGCACCCCGAGAAAACCACCACCCCACCACCCAAATCAGGAATCCTTTCAATTTTCTATGCTCAGATAGAAAAGTACGAGTTAAATGTTCTTTCGCTTGTTGATTTTGACTGTGTACACCTGCTTCACTATCCCTTCCTGTTTGTTGCGGGTCATGTTTGGGGGAAACTTTTTCGAGGAGAGCAACCCTGTTGCTTTCGGGTTCCTCAAAAGTGTCTTGAAGGGGGACCTTCGCTACCGGAGCCAGCTGTTCCGGAAGATGGTCTAAAAGCTCCGTGTGGAAAGAAAGCTCAATCAAGCTGGTTTCAAATTTGTCTTGTGTCCTCTGGCCCCAGAGTTCCCCGAAACCCACTGCCATTTCCTGCAGCCGTCTGCACTGCCCACACACCTGGGAGTCCTGCTGAGCACGTCAGAAAGAAAGCCGTTACCCGAGCTCCAGCAGGGATCTGCTACCCACTACCCACGGCAGGGAGGAGAGCAGGTGTTGGAGGGCGGCACGCACTGCCCGCTCCACCTCTGGAGAGAGCCAGGGAGTGGGTACTGCCGAGGTCCCCCCGGGGCCCTCTGCCCTCAGAGTCCACTGACGTCCACGGACGTATTTCAGCGGCTCTCTGTGCCTACGTGAGAGCCCAGCGTGACTGAGGGCCGACGGCGCAGGGACTGAGCGGCTCCCACCAGGGCGATTTTGCATTGCACTGGAGAGACATTTATGGTGGTCAGACTGAGGGTCTCTGGAGTCCAGGAGGTAGAGGCCCAGGGTGCTGCTGGACATCCTGGGACGCCCAGCATGAAGGACCCTCCTGCCCGGGACGTCCAGGGCACCGAGGCTGGGACCTCGGTCTAGCCCAGGGCTGCACTCCTGCTCTTTCCCTCCTGTGACCTTCGATTTGCAGAAGTGCGCTTCCCTCTGGACCCGTCTCCCCAGAAGGGGAAGAAGTGAAGCTGTCCCTCTGCACGGCTTGTGCACACACAGAGCCTTCTGGGGAGGAGGGGGATGCATTTCCCTTTCATTTCTCTGACTCTTAGCTCTGAACTATCTGGGCTCTATTTATTTCGTTTCATTGGAGCTAGAGCTCCTGGGGAGGGGCAGAGCCCTCCTTGGCATGTTGAAAGCTGCCCACAGGGTGGCCAGAAGCCCTCACCTGCCACCAGGGCCCTGAAACTCTGCCGGTCGGGGGCATTGAGCCTCCAACTGGCCTTTCCCCACTAAGCTGCAGGCTCACAGGGCCCCCCAGGCAGGCGCTGTGCAGGCAGGCTGGCTGGGGCAGTTGGAAGGCGTCAGTGACCCTGGGCGCTGTCCTCCAGATGCCCACGGGCCCCAGTTGGCTTGACACAGAGGCAAAGCTCACAGGTTCCTGGTGCGCCAGGTGGGGTGGCACCCAGCCCCGTGAAAAGCCACGGCAGAGCCGGGGAAGGGCTGGGTCAGGTCGGCTGCCCATCGGCTGGCACGGATCTGTGGTCAGTCCTGTACGTTGAACTGAGCGATGAATGGCCATTGGTCCCAACCCAACACTGTCGCTCCTTAAAGAGTCACGTGCGCATGGTGTTGGCATCAGGCAGGGGAAGAGGCGCTCAGAGGCGGTGGCAAACCCGACTCGTCTAGGTGGGTCTTGGGGGCAGGTGGGGACGTCTGCACGGGGACAGGAAGGATCGGGTGCTGCGCTGGGGGTTGTAGCTGACGGGTGATGGAGGATGGTCCAGGAAGGCCTCCCTGAGACTCGGGGGCCGACTACGGGAGCTAGTGACAGAAGGCGGGGCGCAGCAATAGCAGATCACGTCACAGCGAGCGGTGAGGACCAAGGTCCCCAGCAAGAAGCAAAACACGGGGGGACACTTGGGCCGGGGTGAGTGAAGCCAGAACTGGACAGGCCGTCGGTGGAGAGAGGTGAGTCATAGGTGGGATCCGGGAGGCCAAACTGAGTGGGAAGTTGGAGACTGTCCCCTCCCTGACGGATTCCTCCACCCCAACCTAGAACCTGCCCCTGCTCCAACCTGCTGCCAAGGTCACCTGCCCCTGGACTGGCCTCTCCCCGCAGGGGCTGTTAATTAATGTGTCCTTGGTGCTTCCTCCCCTGGTCCCCCTTCAGCCCACCTGGTTCCCACCTGAGCCTCCCTGGGCCTAGTCACAGGAAGGAGGGGAAGAGGGCAGGAGGACAAAGGAAGCCCAGGACGTATAACTGGGCAGGACGACACCCGCTGTGGCCCCGTCTCCATCCGGGGAGAAGGCTGTGTTCCCGCTTCTTAAACAAACCCTGCTTCACTGGCTGGCCTCAGGGTCCTCTCTCACGTCCTACTTCCACACGGGGGGAGCAGGGCTCGTCACCCGTAACCGGGGTCTTCCCAGGGAGGCAGGTGCAGAGTCGGGGTGTGGAGAACGGGCTTGGGGTGGTCCAGACGTCTCCCAGGACTAGCGGGAGTCCACCTGTTTCCTCCCCGGGGCTGCAGGC